TTTTGTCTACACTATCTTGGTGATAGAAAGTTTTATCGGTAAGATTTTTCATCCTTGAACCACATCAACAATTAGCTGCGGCTCTACAGCTAAATGCATAACGTCAGTGTCCTGGCGTATTTTGCACTTCCATTTTTCTGCGTGTCTATGTTTTTTCAACACCTAGAATCCGAATTTGAACCGAGAGAAAAGACCTTTTTTAGGGCGCGTTTACCCTATTTCCAAAATGCAGCTGGACGAGATTTTTAATGGAAAGGTGGAAAGTCCTGGCACGAAGAACCTGCTGCCTGTAATTTCTGCTTTGGATAACGTACACAATGCGGAAACGTCGCGGGGTCCAGCGCCGGACAGGTGAGCGAAGCCGTCCGAGCGCTAAGCGCGCGTCGGTTTAAGAGCTATTTTCTCCTCTTGGGGGTGGGGAGGGAGAAATATCAACATCGACCTGCCGGTCTGGGCCCGGAGGTTAGTGGGGTACCAAGGAACCCCACCACAGCTATATCCTCCGGAGCGTGAATCAGTCGGGGCACTGCCTACAATGGAGCATAGTGTTTTTGCTTCGAAAAGTCTGCTATCAAGGCATCGCAGGTTTGTGAGCGAAATGCACTTGGTAATCGATTGCTGTTCGATGCTGGTTCCACTGACTGTAGAACATAGGTGCGATAGGGGGAGCCGGGCTCTCCCCAGGTGAAGGGGGTCTCGGCTGTTCCCGACCTTTCAGGGTGAAGGGGGTACGTGAGTTTAGGGGGGGGGGGAGGAATAGAGAAAAGGTAAAAAGGCGTGTTATGAAGATCTCTAATTTGCACCTTATTTAGGCACAAATTGAAAAAAAATTTAAAAATTTTGAAAGAAATTAAAATTTCAAAAAATTGACTTTATGAAGATCTGTGCTCCTGTTTCACTGCATCAACAAAAAACGAAAGCAATAAGGTTTATCCCAAAAGATGTACAAGTTAGGAACAACTTCAATTCCTGCACATCATCATCAACAATATTACTATCGCTAACGTCAGAGACAACAAGTTCGCTGCCTGAAAAATCTTCTTCTTCCTCCAAAAGGTCATCGGAGTAGAAGTAGAATTGCGTGCAAAAGCGGTGACCAGTTTCTTCATACCATCTTTTAGGATATTTCAAAACTCATCCGGTAATAGTCTGTATGGACCACTTATACCAATCCTTTAAATGAAGTTTTTAGATAACAATATGTTCAGTAAAAGGTTGACAAATTAAGTAATTGCTTAGATGCTCCATCGTTGTACGACTTCTGCGTTGTGTTCTGATAACAGAGGATAGAAAATTTCTTTCTCTACCTCTGCCGTGCTAGTCGGAATGGAAACTAGCTTTGCTAGTAAGTCCATCAAATTTTTGCGGTAAGTAATGGGGAAAGAGCAAGATCGCATATGCTTTCGCAACACAAGAAGGGAATATTGCATACTTTTTTGGGCCTTGTCAAACTCTGGCTTCATCTCCTCTGGCATACGTCTTGTTAGCTGGCGAGAAAGCTGCTCAACTTCTTCTTCAACAGCATCTGCGAAATAGCCGAAAAAAAAAGTAGATACTATGCCGCGCGTTGGTTTTCTTTCAATATCATAGGTCATAATGCCACAAGGCGAATAACTTCCAAAAGCATAAAGCACAGAGTTGGGTTCGTACTCCAGCCGGGATCTAAGAGCAGTAGCTATGCTTTGTACTAACACCTTCCCTTTTTCATATCCATGTTTGTGATTTAGCAGCTTTGAAATCTTCAGCAACCTGAAGATCAGCAATGGACTTCCTGGACATTCTCATTGAAACTAGGCAATCTGCTTGGATTCCTTATGTAGGAAATCAGAGAGTTTCGTTCAATTGTCGACTCTGTATCAATGTCGACAACATTTTCGTCGGCGTAAGATTCTCCTTCTGCCTCGCTGTTGAACTGGAACACATGCGAGTCATCTGCGATTTTGTGAAATATTCTGCCTGCCGTTTCCTCTTCAAACTACCAACCTTTCCAAAACGTTGAGGGATATTTTGATAACATGTTATTCTTCTGTCTTAAAGTTTTGATTCATTGAACCAACCATTCTCTACAAATTAGGTAAGGTGAGTCTAGAGCGTTTTCGTAAAAGTGACCTTCTTCAGCACTAGGTTTACAGAGTATGGATTCCAGAAATGGGCGGATTTTTGTGTGAAGGTGTGGAAATTCACCAATCTCCCATAGTTTTTGAGTGTATGCTAATAATGATGGCATAACTGTCAATCAAAAGCGCATTTCTAACCAAAAAAACATAAACATACAACAACGATAAGTCCAGTTAAATAGATGCGTTAGCTCACGTTCCCGTTAGTGCTGATAACAATGCCAATCCATAGCACATTTTTTCTATTAACTTGCTCCACCTCGCTCTTATTGGGTCTTCCCGAAAGTTTTTGCGCACGATTTTCAAAAATTCATAATTTCTGATTTTCCCAACCAACTTGACTGCTTTCACTTTTATGTGAAAGGGTAAGTCATCCTCTTTAGAATGACATCTCAGTGCTTAGTAAAGGTCATCTGCTGCATAGATAAGAGCGATAGAATAATATTGGTCAAAATTTGAATTTTCTGTGTAGGGTCATAAAAAATCGGAGACTTGCAACAAAAATCGGAGCAGTCAGTATTGTAGGTTCTTTTACCAGCTCTCTAACAGTGCAAAGTTTGCGCCGATTGAGCGTTTTCATGGAAGGTTATGATGTCCCTGAAAAATGCTAAAATAAACCAAATTCACCCTTTTTATTGCTTGCTCGAAAATCATAACTTTTCAAAGAGACCCTCAATCAGCGCAAACTTTGCACTGTTAGAAAGAGCTGGTGAAGGAACCTACGATACTGACTGCTCCGATTTTTGTTGCAAGTTTTCGATTTTTTATGACCCTACACGAAAAATTGAAATTTTTGACTAATATTCTTCTATCCCTCTTATCTATGCAGCAGATGACCTTTACTAAGCACTGAGATGTCATTATAAAGAGGATGACTTACCCTTTCACATAAAAGTGAAAGCAGTCAAGTTGGTTGGAAAAATCAGAAATTATGAATTTTTGAAAATCGTGCGCAAAAACTTTCGGGAAGACCCAATAAGAGCGAGGTGGAGCAAGTTAATACTAAAAATGTGCTATGGATTGACATCGTTATCAGCACTAACGGGAACGTGAGCTAACGCATCTATTTTTCTATTTATTTATCTATTTCTCTATTGCTTATCGTTGTTGTATGATAGGTAGGTTGCTGAAGATTTCAAAGCTGCTAAATCGCAAACATGGATATGAAAAAGGGAAGGTGTTAGTACAAAGCATAGCTACTGCTCTTAGATCCCTGCTGGAGTACGAACCCAACTCTGTGCTTTATGCTTTTGGAAGTTATTCGCCTTGTGGCATTATGACCTATGATATTGAAAGAAAACCAACGCGCGGCATGGTATCTACTTTTTTTCGGCTATTTCGCAGATGCTGTTGAAGAAGAAGTTGAGCAGCTTTCTCGCCAGCTAACAAGACGTATGCCAGAGGAGGTGAAGCCAGAGTTTGACAAGGCTCAAAAAAGAATTCCCTTCTTGTGTTGCGAAAGCATATGCGATCTCGCTCTTTCCCATTACTTACCGCAAAAATCTGATGGACTTACTAGCAAAGCTAGTTTCCATTCCGACTAGCACGGCAGAGGTGGAGAAAGAAATTTTCTATCCTCTGTTATCAGAACACAACGCAGAAGTCGTACAACAATGGAACATCTGAGCAATTACTTAATTTGTCAACCTTCCACTGAACATATTGTTATCTAAAAACTTCATTTAAAGGGTTGGTATAAGTGGTCCATACAGGCTATTACGTATGACTTTTTGAAATATCCTAAAAGATGGTATGAAGAAACTGGCCACCTATCTGCGGACTTTCCTGGTGCTACCAGAGGGCCAGGAAAAAAATCACAAAAGCGCTTGCAAAAGAAGAAAGTACAAATCCATTTTCGACTCAGAACGCTTTTGCACGCAATTCTACTTCTACTCCGATGACCTTTTGGAGGAAGAAGAAGATTTTTCAGGCAGCGAACTTGTTGCCTCTAACGTTAGCGATAGTAATATTGTTGATGATGATGTGCAGGAATTGAAGTTGTTCCTAACTTGTACATCTTTTGGGATAAACCTTATTGCTTTCGTTTTTTGTTTATGCGATGAAACAGGAGCACAGATCTTCATAAAGTTAATTTTTTAAAATTTTTAATTTCTTTCAAAATTTTTAAATTTTTTTTCAATTTGTGCCTAAATAAGGTGCAAATTAGAGATCTTCATAACACGCCTTTTTACCTTTTCTCTATTCCTCCCCCCCTAGACTCACGTACCCCCTTCACCCTGAAAGGTCGGGAACAGCCGAGACCCCCTTCACCTGGGGAGAGCCCGGCTCCCCCTATCGCACCTATGATTCCAAGGGGTGCCCAAAAAAATAATCGGAAAATGAATGCATATTGACATGTTACCATGTTGGTGTTCCTATCGTATGTGCCTCGCGCTGCCAAATTTCCCGCGAAAATCCTTCATAACTTCTTTCACAGAAATGGTCAGCAGAAACGGAAATTAGATTTGGAATCCTTCATAACTTCTTTCACAGAAACGGTCAGCAGAAACGGAAATTAGATTTGGAATCAGCGCTTGAAGGCGAGTGTATTGGTATACATTTCATCTCAAAAGGCCACGGACACTAAGTATCGTTTTCTTGTTAGATATGTCTTCAGCATGGCGAGAAGGCTCAACTTGTGTGAAAATTTGAATTTTGCCAAAACACTGCCTTTAAAACCTGAGCTCAAGAGAATTTGCACTATTATACTACTACCACAAAGCTGTAGACGCTTTGCCCACAATTCTTGCTCCAGCATATCACAAAAATCACATCAAATTAGACCCACTTTCTTCACTTCATCCACTCTAATCTGTTTATTGTACCTCACTGTGCAAAAGTCCTACATGTTCAGAAAGGTTAGTCGCAATGCTACAAAAATTTTCAAGACAGTCTGTTCAGAAGTAACATTCCAGGTAATTCACGTTGCTTGATTGGCCAGTTTAGTTTATGTATGCTAAAGTCATCATAACGCCAAACACTGAACTTCTTGGAGGAAAGAGACATTTTTACATTCTTTTTATTTAGAACAACGGTGAAAAGTATCAAACTCACAGTAAACTTTGAATTGCAAAGGTCGAAATGGTTACAGCAACAAAACGTGACCCTACGTCCTCGAAACTTCTTTTCAATGCATCTATTTTGGCTTAGCTGAAAGAAGAAAACATCACTATGGACTAAATCAGTTCTGACAGTCAAGATTATTTGATGCGGATATGATTGCATTCAACATCACATGCTCACAAATGCTATAACAACGACCAGAAGCACAGTTGTCCGTAGATCGGGTCATTTTTTTGCTTGAAAGCGCAGTTCGTAGAACAGGGTGCTAATGTGCACTTTTCAATCTTTTTATTTAGAACAGCAGCAATGTAGCGTACTTTATCAATTTGGAGTGGGCTGAATATAATAAGCGTAACCTCCACTCACAGCTCTGAGGATTACTATGCAATGTATGATGCATCCCCCGGAATTGTTCCCATATGAACCATCAACGTGGCCGTCTTTCGATCATTCTAACATGTCGGCTTTGAATAAACGCTTTGACAAGGATTAGTTCAGATATGGCAAGTATGGCTTAAAAGAAGGTATGGCGGTTTTTGTAATAAAGAACGTACATGCTTGAATGTTTGAATGGAAGGTAAGTTAACGGAGTGTGGCGCAGTAAATTGGATCTGATTCGTAACCTCTATCGTGTGATAGTTGTTAATAACCGCTGCGTGAGATAATCAAGATTTTGGCTGGCTTCTACTATAATTCCGTAGTTTGGCGATTGTTTGGAATGGGATTTCGTAGTGTTTCGTATTTCGTAGTATTTAGGATGACTTCTTAGAAAATATGGAAAATGACGTTTGAAATCAGTGAGAAACGCAGGCCCAATTATGCTGTTCATAACTGCTGAGCTTTATTTTGAAGCAAGTTGCAGGGTTTTCCATACGTTTGATGAAGTACTACTCATTATAAGATAAAAATTGTATTTAGAAAGCTGCCCGGGAAAGTTGCTGACATACAGTGCTGGCCAGAACTATAGATCCACTATAAAAAATGCCGTAGTTCATCTGCTTCTCAACGAATTGGTCTGAGATTTGGTACAGCTGTGTGTTCAACAGGCTTCCATCAGTAACCGGAGCGGATCCAGCTTTCGTTGGATTATTCAGGAAAAAAATCAAAATTTCGAAAAAAGCAGGCCCGAAGGTTGGCCAAAACTATAGATCCACCTAAAATTTCTGTCTGCTAAAGTGACTAGAGCTAGCATTGTGATAGTGGTAAAGCTCAAGTGAAAATGAGACGAACACAGTTGAAAAGAACCGTTATTTTTGATTTGGTCAAGTTAATTTCTATTGTATCATGATGGTGGGACAATTGGTGAGACGCTGCTAACTTACCCTGCATCCTATATTCGAACAACCAGCCATGACCACCTCGGGAAATCGTGCAAGAGCAACGGTCATGTTGTAACAAAAATCGGAAGCATGCTCACATTTCTTTTTTGATCCACCTTAAAATAGTGGTTTTGAGAAGACTCAAGTTGAAACATTTTCGTAGTTTAATGTATCGAACGCTGACTCAAAGGCAGTGTTTCACCAAAATTTGGTTGTCGGGATTTTCGCATATTGTACGCCTTTTCGATTCCCAATTTAATGTGCTCAAAAATTACATGATGTACGAAAAGGAAACTTTCAAAATGCAACTGAGGAAAGTTGACATTTGCCAATCACTGAACAATCCTCTGCGACTCGTTCCTCGTCTATTTTCATTACAGGTCTGCTTGTTTCTGGTCTATTTCCATTCCATGAAGCCCTTTCCGAATACGTCCTTTCACGATTTCATGGTTTTTTTATTTATTGTGTTAGTGTTTCTTGATTTATCGCGTTTACCAATGCTTTGCTAGCTTGTCACTCACTTTTGGATGAGCAACAGCATTGCGCCTTGGGATCGTAGACAGCTGCGTTTCATGCATGGCTATCCCAGAATAGGGGAAGTGTGTCCAAGCGTCGATGGTGTCAGGTTGGTGGATACCTGGCAGGAACCAATAGCAACTTTTGGACAGCCCGGAAAAGTGGCAGTGGTATTCCCCAATGCCAATCACCTGACCCCCTTACCAAATGGAAATTTTTCTTCCTCAACGCCTGAGACCCTTATTCGCTGTTTGTTCATTCTGCTGAAAGATGACCGGCTAGTCTCTTACTCTAGCAATGTTTCTTTACTCACACAAGCTTTAGCACACGTTCACGTGTATGAGACTAAGATAAAGACAAAGATTTAAAAAAGCTTGCTTAACTTCAAAAGTCCCTGGAACGCGAAGAAGAGTTGTCCTTTCATGCAGTCCTCCACCAAAGTGCAGGTAACACCATGAAGGTGGACGCCAAGTGAAGGGACGATAAGTGAAGGGAGATGTTAAAACAGGCGGAAACCGGAGCATTGGTCACTGCGGGCCAGATCGCGGCGGACCGCTTTGGGTGCAAAATCATGAGCAAAGAAGGGCCGAAAACAGGACTTGATGCAAGCTATGTGAAAATCCGCACTATCGCAATATTGGGAGACACTGCATTTAGAGGCTCGGACGAAGGCGCAAAAGCAAAGTTAGTTGAGCTGGCATGAATGCGGCGCGCGCGAATTTTAACCAGCACGTCGAGCGCTCTGCGGCTAATAAATTACCGTTCTTCAATGAAATTTCGTCTTCGTACGGCGCAGCCAAGTCGATCCTTTCTTGTTTTATGTTTTTTATAAAGCAAACATTTGAGCATCAAATCAAACCAGGCATATAGCTGTGTGTGGATATGTATATTTGCATCTTCCGAACAAAAAAACTCCAATTCTTAGGTGATTTAGAACAAACTTTGCGCGCAAACAGCGGATGCCTGGAGCTACTTTTCCTTAAAGATCAATATCGATATAATTTTTCCAGCACCTCAACTGGAGCATGGGCTTGGTATAGAAGGGTTCCAAGCACGTCTTAGGCCTCGGCAGAGGCCGGCTCTATACCAGTTGCCCACGCGATTTCATCGCCTTGCGATTCTTTAACAAGACAACAGTTACGACTCGTAACTGGTAATTCGACTTCGACTCGCAGGGTTGAGCGTGGGGTCAGGCGCGCCCGACATGGGGGATCGCATAAAGGATAAGAGTGAGAGGGGGGGTCGTAATTAAGAATCGAATTTGTTAAGTTGGGGAAATACTGCGAAGGTGAAGAAGAAATGCGCTAGTCCGGTGAATACCGTGATCACATGAAGGAATGACGATCATAAACAGCATACTGATTGTTTCCACAATGGAAGCTTCAGCCAAAATTCAAATCTTCATCTCTTTTTACCTTGACATATGAGGTCGACAAGGCAGCTTGCTTGTGAAATGGATATCATTTCCATAATCATCATGTCAAATTACCTCTGTGCGCTCTACAAACCATTATCTACTGCAGTTTCTAATGTTTCTCAACGTCTAAAAGCGTGATTTTCAAACGTGATCAACTTGGTTTCAGAAATGAAAAAAGTCAGCTTGTGTACACTCATGACATAGTAATGTTCTCTACAAGTCTAAGCTACAAATCGGGCTTCATATCACTTTCCAACAGTGATGTAAGAAGTGCTGCCAAAATTCCAACCAGCGCGTTTTTCACATTGAGTAACTCCTCGGATTAGCACAAGACCGAAACAAGTCAAATCAAGCTCAAACACTTACTGTGGAATCTTCGAGGGTTGAGCTAGCAAATCACATAAAACTTGAGTAGAAAAGCTTTTCGAAAATGAAGTTAATGGGGTCAGGCGCAACCCCTCAAAAGGTCAGGCCGCCTGAGCTTTTGAGGGGTTGCGCCCGACCTTCTTAACTTGCCTTATTCAAAAATCGCCCCTTTTTTATATGAGTACTGAGCGCAAAGCCTCTTCTTGTTATAATGAAAATTTGGAGCCAAGCACTCCACCCCTGTGAAAATTATAGCTCTGAAAAGAGGACTATCCAAATCTAAAACTTGTCGTCAAGTTGCGTGTGGTTGTGCAATTGCAGAAAGTCGAATCTACAGACATTCAAAAAACAGAAACCTGTAGTGAAGGCTGTCTTCTTCAAAATATAACACACTGAGGACTTGAAGGTGAAGCGGAGGTCGTTTAGGGGCTTTCACAGGTGGGGGGTCGTTTTTGAAGGACTTGTGCCTGAGCTCTTGCTCAACCCTGGTTACGAGTCTACATGCCGATCATCTTGCATTTCTGTTGTGATAGTTAGTCACGATTGTTGGAAAACTATCACAACCGAAATGCAAGATGATTGACACGCAATGAACCCGTAACAGTTGTCTTATTGGAGAATCGCGAGGCAATGAAATCGAGTGAACTTTGCCCGAGGCTAACGCGGTTTTTATAACTTGCTTAACTTTAACGAACACCTTGACTACTATACATACGAAATACGCTTGCGAGCGAAGATGAGCAAGTAGGTTTGCTAAATAACGTGGCGACGCTGGACTATACGCTCAACTCCTGGAACTTTGCATTCAAAACTGAAATAAGCTACGTTAAACATGCACAAATGCATGTACAATGAACGTCTGCAGGAATGTGCCATTTCGCCACCTCAATTAATTATGAAAAAGCCATGGGTAAAAGCTTACCAATCAACCTACTTGCTGCATTGCCGAACTTGAACCGGGGAGAACAGATAAACGTACATAGATTGCACAGCGACAATATAGCCAGCCTACAGCTTCTGACCACGGCAGAAAATCGAGAAAGCTTGATTCACAACATGCGGAGTTTCCGCTACAGTCTCTGCAGTAGTTTATAAAGTCCTGCAAACGTGATAGGTGTACGAGCAGAGGTGCGATGGGTGGAGCCGGGCCCCCAAAAGTGACAGTGGTAGTGCCGGACACTCGCCTCCCAAAAACGTCGACCGGGGGGGGGGGGGGGTGGGGAGGGGATCCTCCCTGATTTCTCTCTCTCTCTCTTTTGATTCTTTTTTTTTTAGTTTTGTTAATCAAGACCTTATGATAACGGGCTAAGGGTTGTTTACGTGTTTTTGTGTGTGTCCTTTTGTTACGAAATTCGTAGAGCGTGTTTCAGCCAGTGTTCCGAGCCCAAATTTTGCATAGTGCATGATCCCTTCATGAAAGTCTAACATGCAAAAGCACGAGTAGATTCGTTGAGTGGATCCCTCAGAAATTGCGCGCCAAACGGATCCACCTGGCTTCCGTTCCGCAAAATTGAGTCCGTATCACCACTTTTTGCAAAGTCGTGGGTGTGTTTGGTTAGCAAATGTGCAAGCGATGGACAATTAGCCCAAAAAGTGGTCAAAAGTTTACTACATAACGAAAACAGCGCCAAAAAGAATTGGTTGCGTAAATGGTCAATTTGCCATGGTTCTAGCCAAGCATTTCGGAAGATTTTCGCACAGAGACGTAGCTCACGATTACTATTGCCTTAATGGCGACTACCAAGCCATGACAAATTCAAAAACCTATACAAATTTGCGTTTGTCTCCCTGTGAAAAGTTTCATCCACGCGAAATCACCGATCTCACGTGAAAAAACTTTCTAAATGCTCAGACAGTCGGTGCCGTAGCTCCGGAGGCAGTCGAAATCTGGCAGAGCCGCGGAGAACCCAGTTGACCCTTGAGAGCGGGGCGGGGGGGGGGGGGGCGGTCCCATCTTGTAGGTCACGGTGACGTCACAAGCAGGCGAATGGGACCCCTCTCCGGGACGCGCAAATCTCTGCTCCGGAGATACGCCAGATTTGGGACACTTCCGGAGCACAAAATGGGAGGGCTCCGGAACACAAGTGGGAGGGCTCCGGAGCAGAAAACGGGAGGTCTCCGGGACACAGAATAGGAGGGCTCCGGAGCACAGATTTGCGCTCCGGGGGTACTTTTTCATTCCCAGATTTGGGACACCTCCGGAGCACAATAAGTACGCAGCCAATTTGCTGTGATACGCAGCTTAGCATTTTCAAAAATAAGCTGCCGTCGCTCTCAACTTACTCTTTTTTGTCATTCTTTCGCGCTCGCCTTTCTTTTTTTGGTTTTTCGTGTTCTCGTCGGCGAGTTGGCGTTTATGTTGTTTTAAGTTATTCGTTTTCAGGTTTATTTCGGATTTTCGTGCAGATGCACTCAATCGCTTTTGGTATTCGGCTCTCGTTTTCGACTTACTGTCGTTTTTCCGCGTTCTTTTCCGTTCCCTGCTGCTCTTCGGCGCTTTTGGCGCTTATGTTGTTCAGTTCCTTCTTTTCAGGTTTCCGGTTTTAGGTTTTCGTGCGGATGCACTTCACTTTTAGTGCTTGGCTCTAAACGACTTGCTGAGACATCATTGACTATTGATGGAGTGGTTTTTGTGGTATCTAGATCTTGGACTTTCAAAACAAAAAGTTTATAAACAGAGAATTCGTGTTGAGTCACTATTAGTATGTCCGATATCTAAAGCTAGTGCTATGCAACGTGCTGGTCGCGCTGGTCGTACTAAGCCTGGTTAGCTTTTCGGCCCTAATCGTTCTCACATTGGGAAACTTTGCATTTTAG